TAAACATGGAAAGAGCTCTAAACAAAAAAAAGTAAGGAGCTTTGGGGTTTTTTTGGTTTGGTTGGTTGGGTTTGGGGGGGGGGTTTGCAGGTGGTGTCTTTTTGGGTTTCGTTGGTTTTTACAAGTTACTAATCACAGGGCCTCCCTCTCAGTACAAATAACTTAAGCTGCTTCCTCAGTGCTAAGTTATCTGGTGAATATTAAGATGTATGCCTTAAACATCAGAGTTGAAGTGTTACATAGTCCTATCCATCAATCTCTGATCCCCTTGTCCTGTTGTCCCATAATTTTTTAATCAATTAGCATATTTCAATGAAATTTCAAAGATCAGGCGTTTCAGCTAATTAGTTTCTGAAGTTTTCAGAAAAATTGGCAGCTGGTAGCAGGGACACACCCAGGATGAATGCCCCACTCGTGCGGAATTCAGCTTTTATTCATTGTTTAAGGCAACAGCTGGCTGGCAAAATAATCAGGCACTTGTTTCCTTTTGCCTGGTGAGGATACAGGGTGGAGCTGGGGTACTAGGGTGTGGAGATCTAGGAGACAAAAGATGGAGTCTGTACAAATCTAGGGGTTTGTTTTGCTGTTCCCAGCAGAGCTTGTTTAATTAATGTTCCATGTTAGACAGAAAAAGATGTTACAATGTTTTATCTGTTTGGAAGTCTTCCCCCCCATTTTAATGAAATTAAACAACAATTTGGCCTTTAGGGCTTCATAAAATCCACTCTAAAACTGCTTATGCTAGGCTTACAACTTCATTATTTAATAATGAGCTCCAGCTAAACATCTGATATTCATTTCCAGTTCTGCACGATGTTTTAACAATCCTCTATTAGCTACTGTAATCTGAGGCATAGATTTCATTGTATATTTTCTTAATTGAGCTGTTGCAGCAATAGACCCAGGAAAAATTATTTAGAAGGCAGGACTGGAATGGCACATTCAGAATATTCATGTACCTGAGACTGTATAGTTTGTATCCTTTCGCAGCTGGAAATAATACGAAGAATGTGGCATCTGCTTCCAGACAAAAAAGCTGTCAAGTTTTTCTTTTTGTCCAATCTACTTGTATAATTTAATTTCTGGAAAGGTTTAAACACTTAGAGAAATGAATCAACTGAACTAGAATGTTTTATCTGAATGTTTTACTTTTTTTCCTTTTTAATAATAATAAAAAAATCTATTTTTGATGAAAAGGTAACAGTATAACTACACAATTCAGATACAACACGTAGCATCTAGTTAAGCTGTCACTCAGTTTTATGTTTCGCTTGCCTTGAATTAAGTGTTGTGAGAGCCTCACTGAAAAGCCTGTGGCAAATGAGGACCAGGACCTCTCAAGCCCCATGACAGGATTCCACAAGCTTCCCTTTTGGGATTCGCACTGCGTCTGTTTAGTTCGATATGCTGTGTATATTAATCTGTTGTACTATATGTTTCCTGTGAAGTCATGCTATGGGGCTTCAGGCTGGTTTAGGGAACCAATCTACATAAGAAGAAGAAGGAGCTGTTGGCATGCTGGCTTGCCAAGAGTAACACATATGGGATTTTTATGGCTTGGCATGGGCTTTCTCAGGAACAGTATCCTTACACTGCTCTTGATCATTCTAACTATATTGGCACTTCTCTAATAAGAGCGTGACTTATGCGTTGTACAATCAATCAAAATGCATTTGTCTGCTGGATTCTGGTCTTAATACAGAAATCCAGCTCAAGACACCTTTTCACGCTTAGCAGAGCAGAAGGATCTTATTTCAAGATGACTCAGCTCTTCGCAGGTTAGATGAACCAAGTCTCTTCACCCTCCCTTACACTTCAGTGGAATAACAACCTAACTCATTTGGTCAGCAGAAACTATTTAACTCTTTCTTAACAGAATAAGCAGATATCATGTTTTTGTGAAAGAAACTACACATAAATCAAGGTTTTGAAGTGTCATAACATCTTGCCCACTGCAATGCAATTATATTTTGAAGTTGAAAATTGCAGGGTTAGTTTTCTCTTTTTTTATTTTTCTGAAGTCTATATGATTTTTTTTCCTTCTGTTAGAGGATCAGATTTTGTCTACTGCCATGATGGTAAAAATCACTGCTAGATTTTTTATGTTACTGGATGAAGAAAAAAAATGGGGATCTAATCTCTTGCAGCATGTATTTGGCATTTAGGAAGTGAGATTTCAAGGAAATAGCAGACTTGGGTGTGCTGCAAGCTTCTCCCTGAACCTGAAATTGCTGAAGGTGCCTCTGTCAGTTTCCAGTTTCTGTGATACTGAAAATGCCATGCTTTAAATATTCAAATATCTATCACTGTATTATCTGAAAACCTGTCACTGAGACTGTGTGAACAGAACGTGTGTGTTAAGTGGATTATGCAAATAAAGCAATATGATTACTCTTTAGTGCCTCCCCACGCTCTTACTGTTTCAGAATTATATAAATAAGGACACGTTCCTAGTTCTTTTTACCTTAAGATTATATGAAAAGTATTTATCGCATGCTCGGTTTAGCTGGGATGTTAAGTCAAAGTATGTACTTGTGATTGGAGAGTCATGAGTCTGCCTTCAGTTAAAAAGTTCCCTCCCTGAATTTCATTAGCTCTGATTT